TACTTTTTTCTTGGAATTCTGAGTTTATATCTCGCAATTCTTACTGTTTTCTTGGAGTTCTGAGCTTCCATCTCGCAATTCGTACTTTTTTCTTTGAATTCTGAGTTTACATTATTCTTGGAATTCTGAGCTTCCATCTTGCAATTCAGACTTTTTTCTCTGAATTTTGAGTTTCCATCTCACAATTCGTACTTTTTTCTTGGAATTCTGAGTTTATATCTCGCAATTCTTACTGTTTTCTTGGAATTCTGAGTTTACATTATTCTTGGAATTCTGAGCTTCCATCTCGCAATTCGTACTTTTTTCTTGGAATTCTGAGTTTACATCTCGCAAGTCGTACTGTTTTCTTGGAATTCTGAGTTTACATCTCGCAATTCTTACTTAGAAACAAGCTTCAACAGTGTCAATGTTCATCAATTATGAAACTAATTATTGACAGAAGTCAGTATGACAGAAGAAAATGTTGTCATTATCCAGCTCAGTTTAGTTCAGGTTTTGTTCTCTTCCAATAGAGTCAGTGCAGTCAAATCGATGACCATAATGACTTCACCATAATTACTTTATGCTTTATAACTTTATACTGATGTCTACCTGCAGTGCACCACCACAGGCCCCATATCATTCGTCCTGGCCTGCGAGGACGCCCGCACAAACGACAGCAGGGGCAGAGTGTATTCTGGGACGCCCATGTCGGGCCACTGAGTGTAATGGAAGTGAAGCACCGTCCTCTCCTGACTGCGGCCCTTCTGTGAGCCCTGACGGGAGAAAAGACAGTGAAAAGTGTTGAAAACAGACAACCCAACTAACAAAAAAATATGTTCTAAAGAACATTTTTCTAACATTTCCATTAAGTAATTAAAACATTATTTCTGAAAGTTCTCTGAACATTCAAAATGTCCAGTTTTTAAAATGTTTTAAAAACTTTGTTTTGCTTAGCAACATTAAAGGAACATTCCATTTTATAACGTTACTTTTGAATGTTCTCTGAACATTCTGCAACAAGTAGAAACATTTAAAAAACGTTAGATGAACATCCAACTAAATCATTTCAGAAATAAAACATTATATAAACTATGTATAAATAACTTTTTATGCGCTAATGTTTTTGGAATATAAGTAAAGAGCAGATAACTCTATTAACGATACTAGAAGAACATTTGTTCATAACTTGCCAGAACCTTCTGAGAACATTCTTTATTAGCTGGGAATATCCTCAAGGGTTTGTGGCATAGGCCTAGTTACTGACCTTTTTGACGTTAACGTTCCTCAAGATGAACGTCCTCTGCGTGTAGTAGGCAAGAGTTTTGGTGCTCTTCAGCGTGACTAGGAAGCATCCATAGTCCTCCTGATTCTCCAAGGGCCAATACTGATCACATTTTCTCTGTTTGACACACACACACCATGTACATATAATTAGGAATCTCATCTGACCACTTTTTTGTTGTTTTATATCAAATTTTGCATGTATTTCATTACACTCTTAAAAATAAGTGTTCTTTATTGGCATTGATGGTTCCACGAAGAACCTTTACCATCCATGGAACTTTCTACATAGTAGAAAAGGTTCTTTAGGCTTTTAAAATGTTCTTCACACTAAGAAAAAAAAATGGTTCTTTTGAGAACTGTTCACTGAAAGGTTCTTTGGGGAACCAAAAATGGTTCTTCAGTCGCATTGCTTTGAAAACCCCCTTTTGAAATGTTTATTTTTAAGAGTGTAACCAAATGATCTAATCTAAGAGTGATAAAAGCATTACCCGGCCCTTTTCCACCAGGTTAGTGATCATGACGATCACACCCACGTTCTGCTCCCATATCATCGTCCAGAAGTCTTCCAGACTGCCCTTCAGCGGACCCTGGGCGGCTATATATGCTTTCGGCTGATTGTAGCCCTAAAGATAATCATTACAATCCGACCATGATCATTTCTACCAACACTAATGACAGACCAATTAATAAAGCAAACATCTGGCAATTGTGAGATTGCATCGGATGATAATTGTGTCCATTTTTCTAAAAGTACACTACTGTTCAAAAATTTGGGATCAGTAAGAATTTAAAACTTTTTTTCAGCAAGGATGCATTAAACGCAATCAAAAGCGACAGCAAAGAAATTTATAATGTTACTAAAGATTTCTGTTTCATAGAAATGTTGTTCTCTTGAACCTTCCATGCATATAAATATGAAGTAGCACAACTGTTTTCAACAATAATAAGAAATGTTTCTTGAGCAGCAAATCAGCATATTAGAATGATTTCTGAAGGATCATGTGACACTGAAGACTGAAGTAATGATTCTGAAAATTCAGCTTTACATCACAGGAATAAATTATATTTTACTACATATTCAAATAGAAAACTGTTATTTTGAATTGTAATAATTTTTCACAATTTTAATGATTTTACTGTACTTTGGTGAGCAGAAGATGCTTAAAAAAACATTAAATACTTACCGACCTCAAACGTTTGAATAGTAGTATATATACAGTATATTGGCCATCAGGCATGTTGCAAAAACAATTATGTTTTATCATTACAGCATTTAAAATTTAGTGTAAAATTTACACTTACATCCACATAGTTGGCATTAATGTAGTCCCCTGTCTTTCCATCTTTGTCAGAGTTTTGCGAGAGTTTAACTCTACTGTGATCATCTGAGAGTACAAAAAAACGTATTAGTCGTGTTTTTTATTTATAAATGCATGTACACCTCTTATATTGTTATGGATGAGTGATATAACATCTCATACAGGCCAGGATGTTAATGTATCTGTTCTTGCTCTTATTGTCTGGATGGTTGGAGCTGTCCGCAGTGATGCCGATGTCCGCCGTACAGCCCTGAATCTCCTAGAAGAAACGTTTCATCCCGTCACTGATAAAATCATAACTCAAATCATAACCATTACCAAACTGTTACACTTTTTCATGCATACTAACCATGCAAAGAGCAACACTGACACGTCAATACAATGAACAGAAGAATAACAACAATGCAAAAGAACAAGTAACAAGAAACACTGAAACAAAGGGAGATGTGTCTTACCTCGTAAGACTCTTTCAAGATCTAATAAGGGAGGGGGTGAGAATGCAGAAAAAGCACAATGAAAGTCCGGGAAAAACAAGAGAGGTGCCAGTGCAGGTACATGAGGCACGTTTGCATGTGTGTTCATGCTACAGATGGGTTTAGACTCTGTGTGGGTGTCCATGCAGACGCCTGTACATCACCCTTTACATGCTGCCCCGTTGCACTCATAATCATGAATTTATGACATTAATGCACTATTTGATATGATTTTATTGCATAATAAGGTACAATGTTTAAAGGTGGGGTAAGCGATTTCTGGTAGCCAATGTTGACATTTGAAATCACCAAAACAAACACGCCCCTA